TTCCTGATTGGCTGGGAAGCCGGCTTCCCGCTGCCTTGTGACACAGTGTTTTGAGGGAGCGTGAAGCCGGCCTCCCAGTTAATGAGAAAGCTGGGCGGCGGGCTGGCCGTCTTCCTGATTGGCCGGGAAGCCTATGCTTAAAGATCATCCTTGGCTATGATTTTCCTACTGATTTTTATTTCTACTGAAACATTAATTTTAAATATTTTTGTAATTTTTAGTCGTTTTGTTGTGTGATTTTTATTTTTTTATTGTCATAGAAAATGAAAAACAAATATACAAATTGTGGAATGTGATGTACTTTTTTTTTTACATAATAGGAGTAGGGATGTCCCGATAACAATTTTTCAAGACCAAGTACAAGTACTTTCCCCTCAGGTACTCGCCGATCCCAATTACGGATACTTTTTCTTAAAGGAACATGTGAGATTTTTTCTAAAACAATAAACACTAAAGATTTTAGGGCAGTTTCTCACCAGACCTAAGTACAGAGGTCCCCGGGGCTGAGTACAGAGGTCCCCGGGGCTGAGTACAGAGATCCCCGGGGCTGAGTACAGAGGTCCCCGGGGCTGAGTACAGAGGTCCCCGGGGCTGAGTACAGAGGTCCCCGGGGCTGAGTGCAGACCGATGTCCCCAGGGCTGAGTGCAGACCCAGAGCTGAGTGCAGACCGATGTCCCCAGAGCTGAGTGCAGATGTTACCAGGGCACAATACACTTATACAGCTGGACCTAGCAGAGTCCGTGTGTGTCTCAGTGGGGTTAAGGTCTGGACTCTGAGGTGGCCAATCCATGTGTGACAATGACGTCTCATGCTCCCTGAACCACTCTTTCACAACCTGAGCCTGATGAATCCCGGCATTGTCATCCTGGAGTGTTCCCAATGTGCCATCAGGGAAAATTCATTGATGGATAAACCTGATCACTCAGTGTATTCAGGTTGGGAGCTGACCTCATTTTTTTGGGGGCATAACGTTGCTGAACCCAGACCTGACCAACTGAATCAACCCCAGATCATAACACCGCCCCATGACACCACTGGATACCCCTTCCTCGCCCCATGACACCACTGGATACCCCTTCCTCGCCCCATGACACCACTGGATACCCCTTCCTCGCCCCATGACACCACTGGATACCCCTTCCTCGCCCCATGACACCACTGGATACCCCTTCCTCGCCCCATGACACCACTGGATACCCCTTCCTCGCCCCATGACACCACTGGATACCCCTTCCTCGCCCCATGACACCACTGGATACCCCTTCCTCGCCCCATGACACCACTGGATACCCCTTCCTCGCCCCGTGACACCACTGGATACCCCTTCCTCGCCCCATGACACCACTGGATTCCCCTTCCTCGCCCCATGACACCACTGGATACCCCTTCCTCTGAGTCTGTGCCATACACACGCACAGAGGTGGAGGTTTCCAGCCTTTATAGAGAGGAGATGTGCCTGCTCTATGTCTGATCACCCCCATGTGGCGGGAGGTGTGAGCGCACATATCAAAGTAGGACTTGGCTGTTCCAAGCACCTCCCGGCCACAGTCCGCCTCTGGTGCCCGCTGTTGTGCTCGGGGTTATTTAGGGTGTGCCCAGGAACACCCGACACACCCCGTGCGCACGCCTATGGTAAGCCTATGGAGAACATCTGGTCCTGGTCGGGTGGGTAGACATTGAACAAGGTGGAAATTTGGCCAAATGTCCGAAATTTCACTCGCACTCCGAGTCACAGACTTCCTGCAACAGGTGAGAAGGAGAAGACTTATGTATACCGGTGACCACCCCTCGTCTCTTCATCAATGGGTCACCTCTCAGGAACCAGGCACGGGAGTGTGTAGAGGGCATAGAAGGACCTGACGAGGACGTACAATGGGTCTCCTGTGAGAAGACTATCTGAGCATGTCGTAGAGGATCTGTGATCACTGAGGGAACCCTGCGGCTTTAGCCGAACCCGACTCTACTAAAGAGAGAATGTCCGTGTTGCTATTGGAGAATTATCTTCACTTCCTGTCTGTAGAAATGTTTTCAGGAAGACAGGAAATTGAGGGAAAATCTCTGCGATGGAGCCCCAGAGAGCAGAAGAACCCAGCAGAGGGTCTAACCGTTCTCCACGCCATCCAACACTATATATAGATATATGGCTGTGTATATACTATAGGGGCTTCCTGTATAAAACCTTCCGGGTGGATTCTGTTGGAATGGCACTACCGCCCCTAGGTGGCGCTGATAGAAATTTCTCTTTACTTGATTTGTTTGGGCCGAATCACCCCCTAGGCTTTCTTATAAGATTCTACCGTTACCCAAGGCCCATGAGGGATTGGACTTCCCTGGCCCTGTGCTATACTATCGGGCCACTCGGCTCTCTAGGGTTCTGGATTGGTGCAGCAACCTACCTTATAGACAACGGATCGCTCTCGAACAAGAAGCGTCCACTATCTCGTTGTGCGGCCTTCATTGGGTTGAGATGGGTCATCTGTGGACCTTAAGATGATCTTATCTCCTGATTGAGTTAACTCTACAGACGTGTTCGGGACAGTGGAGAAGGCACCATCACCTTATGGCTCCAGTTGTTGGTCACCCTGACCTTTCCCTGATATGAAATGACCCGAACTCCTCTCGCTTCTACAACGTTAAATTCCGGCTTAGGGACTTTGGCGGGGACTGGTCTGAAGTCATCGGTGGAGATTCAGGCCATGGTTGAGCCACCTTCAGATACCTGGAGGCTTCAACAGTTGACGCCTTTTCTGAACACGTTATTACCTCGCACGTGAACCCGGGCTCCTCAAACACGGTTCGGTCGTCTGTGTTGTGAACGGGGCCCAGAACGTCACCCTCGTTCCCTGACCTCCAAATCTCTGATTCAGTCTGAGGGCTCTTTTGTCCCCCCGCCCCCCTCCCGTTTCTGTATAAATGGAAACAAGCAAGCACAGATATTCTGTATGTGATATTAGATCGATTTCCCAAATAAAGAAGACAATGTCAAGCAATGGCTAATGATGTACATGACATAATGGAGGACTCGGAGGCCAATGATTAGAAAACATCAGCTGCATTTTTTAAACTCGCCACAAGGGGGAGAGCTTACCTGTACAGGAAGGAAGTGACATGGGTATACAGACAGGAAGTGATGGCAGGTATAGACAGGAAGTGATGTCAGGTACAGATAAGTGATATTCCCAGACCGGATGTTCAGGTGAGAGGTGATCTGAGAAAGTAAAGAGGACAAAAAGCTGGAACTGAAAGCATGGAAGTAATAGGACATTATTTTCTACTTATATATATTTTTATACACCTAGTAACTTCCCTTTATCTTCATCCAATTCCTTCATAGTCCCTGTGATATCTGTTATCATTTATAGACCGGATACATCCTAAATATAGATCCATTTATCCAACTGTCCATCCAGAGCCGCCATTTATAGACCAGATACATCCTAAATATAGAGCCATTTATCCAACTGTCCATCCAGAGCCGCCATTTATAGACCGGATACATCCTAAATATAGAGCCATTTATCCAACTGTCCCTCCAGAGCCGCCATTTATAGACCAGATACATCCTCAATATAGAGCTATTTATCCATCTACAGAGAAGAGAGTCCTTTATAGATCACATGACCACCTCCAAGAGGATGGATGAGGACCGGAGTCAAATAAGTGAGCGAATATTGAACCTCACCCTGGAGATCATCTACCTGCTCTTGGGCGAGGTGAGGAGGATTCTGGGGGGTCATGTGACACTTATCTCTATTCGTAAAACATGGACCTGACCGGAGAGGTGAGGAGGATTCTGGGACTATTTGCAGTGCTAATTAATGACATTTAATTTTAGGGTTATGAAATAGTGAGGAAAGCACACGGTGAGCAATTGCTACTCAGCAGCAGTCCGCGTGTATCTCCTCTTCCTTCATCCCTGACACCTGAGAGCAATAATAAGCAGAAGATCCTAGAAGTCACCCAGAAGATGATTGATCTGCTGACAGGAGAGGTGAGCGGTGCCGGGAATTCTGGGACATGATCCAGGAACAGACAAGGGATGTGTCTGGGTGGTGACTGTATCATTGTGTGTGTCAGGTTCCTATAAGGTGTCAGGATGTCTCTGTCTATTTCTCCATGGAGGAGTGGGAGTATCTAGAAGGACACCGGGATCTCTACAAGGACGTGGTGATGGAGAATGAGCCGCCCCTCACATCACCGGGTAAGAGGAGAGAGCAGTACGGAGGGTCCACCTACATCCCCCATCATCTGATACACACATAGAAACAATGTATTCAGTCAGTGTGTGTGTTTCCTACAGATGGATCCAGTAAGAGGAACCCACCAGAGAGATGTCCCCGTCCTCTGTATTCCCGGGATTCCACACAGGAAGATCTCACCGTCCCTCACCATGATCAGGTAGGAGGAACTCAAGAGTGACTGTAGACTGTATGAGTTTATACTCTTCTATGTAATCCCATCCTGGTGGCACTTCAAGGATGTTATTTTCTCTCATTCTGTTGGTTCAGCATGAAGAACAGATGTATATGAAAGTTGAGGTGAAAGTGGAAGAGGAGGAGACCTATGTGATGAGATATCAGCAGGCCACGGAGGAGGAGGGGATGATGGAGAAAATTAAGCAGGAGGAATCTTTTCTAGAAATCAGCAGAGGTGAGTAATGAACACAACAGATTATATTCCATTATATAGATTGATGACGGAGGATGTGTAGATGATCTCTACAAGGAAGCCGTGATGGAGAATGAGCCGCCCCTCACATCACCGGGTAAGAGGAGAGAGCAGTATGGAGGGTCCACCTAGATCCCTCCTCATCTGTACACCATATGAAGGTCCATCTCCATTCCTCAATATAACGATGACATCAGTGCCCATCCCCCGTCACTCAGTGTTGGGTTTGGTGTATTGTAGAATGTGTTTTTCATGTCATTTTGCTTTCTATCAGACGGCCGCCATGTCCGGAATACCTCGGAGGGAGATCTTCACTCTGAAGTGAATAACATACGTCCAATGATACACCACAGAACATATTGTCTGGAGACATCAATGGATCCCTCTAATCCTGAGGAATCTTCTGACCAATCACATCACATGACTTCAGATATCCATCTCGGCTCCCACAGTGAAGATCCGTCTACAGATCCAACTATCCCCGAGGAATCTTCTCTCAGCCAGGAAGGAGATCACACAGGAGAGAGGTCATTGTCATGTTTGGAGTGCGGGAAAGACTTTAAGATGAAATCTGAACTTCTTCTACATCTCAAAACCCACAACCATGTGACCTGTTCATGTCCAGTGTGCGGGAAAGCTTTCACTAAAGAAAACAAGCTTCTTAAACACCAGAAAAGTCACAATGGTGAGAATTCTTATTCCTGTTCAGAGTGCGGGAAACACTTCAGTACAAAAGCATACCTTGTTTTACACCAAAGAATTCACACAGGTGAGCGTCCTTATTTATGCCCAGAGTGCGGGAAAAGTTATTTTGACAAAAGAAGCCTTTTTAGACACCAGAAAATTCACACAGGTGAGCGATCATTTTCATGTTCAGAGTGTGGGAAAGGTTTTTCTAATAAAAGAACCCTCCTTTTTCACCATAGAGTTCACACGGGTGAGCGGCCTTTTTCATGTTCAGAGTGTGACAAACGTTATGCTGACAACGGAAGCCTTCATAGACACCAGAAAACCCACACGAGTGAGCGTCCATATTCATGTTTAGAGTGCAGGAAAAGGTTCTCTGATAAAGGACAGTTTCTTACGCACCAAAAAACCCACACAGTTAAGCGTCCTCATTCATGTTCAGAGTGCGGGAAAGGCTTCCTTCGGAAAGCAGGACTTATTGCACACCAGAGAAGTCACACAGGTGAGCGTCCTTATCCATGTTTGGTGTGCGGGAAATGTTTCATTACAAAAGGACATCTAAATAAACATCGGAGAACCCACACACCGGCTGATCCATGTGTTTTTGCCTTTTCTCAAATTTCCACCAATCACCCAGAGGAAAGGGAGATCAGAGACGGAGAATAGAGGCTTTCCCTCACCGACGAGCAGTTTCCTTAAGGCTGTTTGGTCCTGATCCCTTAACCCTTTGGTCTTTTTATTCTATGCTACTGTATGTTACGTCCACGATCTTGGGACATTAGAGTGTTACCAATACCAGTTCCATATATATCACTACAGAAGCTTTTGCCTTTGTGTAATAAATCAGACTGTTTTGCCACTCCCCCTTGGCGGCTGTGTGTGTTATTCTCCAATATTGCACTTATTTCACAATTTGGACCCACTGACTGGGAGCGGGTATCTGTACCGGCACCTAAAGGTTTCCCCATGACAACAACAAGGTGTCCTTTCCATCCTTCAGGATTAAAGAGACATAGGTTTCGTTAAGGGTCCAAGAAGGAAAGGACTTTGATGTCCCATAGATCACAGCAGAAAGGAAAATTGGGTAATGGTCCCACCAAAGCTTCAGCCCCATGGATGTTCAGTGGTGGCGGTCTAAGACCCCCCTGAGATGAAAGTTCTGGTGGACACCAGATCGCAACGTATAACCCCTATCCAACGGGTGAAAGACCCGCCAGATATCAATCAAAGTGTCAACAGTTTGGGCCTAAGCTTTATAGCACCTGCTTAATTGCTGTCCCCTTTAAGTGAAGAGAGGGAGCACGCAAGTGGATAGCAATCAGCAGACAGACAAGTACGGCCACTCGCCCCTCACATGTGAAAGCACGGGGAATCACGAGGGGCTAGGAGTAAACTCGGGTGAATAGCAAAGTACAGAGAAGGGTGCGGCAACAGGAAACAGATTCGTTGTTGGAACGCCGAGCAACAAGTGCACATCGCTATCACTGGGACTCGCAAGGGGCTAAGAGTAAGCAGGAAGACGGAACAGCAAGGAGGGAACTGCTAATCGGAATCACATGAGGAATCCAGAGGAACAAGGGATCCAGGATTAAATCCATAAACTCGTGTAAGGAAAGTACAGAGAAGGGTTCAGCAACAGGAAACAGATTCGTTGTTTGAACACCGAGCAACAAGTGCACAGCGCTATCACGAGGGGCTAAGAGTAAGCAGGAAGACCGGGAAGAGCAAGGAGGGAACTGCTAATCAAGGACTCACACGGGTACACGAGGGATCCAGGATTAAATCCATAAACTCATGTAAGGAAAGTACAGAGAAGGGTTCAGCAACAGGAAACAGATTCGTTGTTTGAACACCGAGCAACAAGTGCACAGCGCTATCACGAGGGGCTAAGAGTAAGCAGGAAGACCGGGAAGAGCAAGGAGGGAACTGCTAATCAAGGACTCACACGGGTACACAAGGGGTCCAGGGGAACAAGGGATCCAGGATTAAATCCATAAACTTGGGTGAATAGCACAGTACAGAGAAAGGTCCGGCAGCGGGAAACAGATTTGTTGTTGGAACGCCGAGCACTGGTCTTTTAACGCAAAGGTTCAGAGCCGATTGGCAGGAAGCCGGGCACCTTGGACAGGGTGCAAAACCCAACGCAATGCACAGGGTACTGTTACAGTATCTACAACCACATATAGAATCGGTATCAGTACACACCGTGTCTAAAAGTTTGGAATTATTAAGAATTCTGTGTGATTTCTGCACGCCACGGGTATTCTGCATGTGATATGAGATCGATGTACCGGATAATGAAGACAATGTCACACCATGGCCAATGATGTACACAACATAACGGAGGACTCAGAAGCCAAAGATGAAAAACATCGCCTGCAGTTCTTATACTCACCACAAGGGAGCGATCTAATGAATGATAGGTACAGACAGGAAGTGATGTCAGGTACAGGCAGGAAGTGATATTCTCAGACCGGAAGTTCAGGTGAGAGGTGATCAGGGTGGAAGTAGAGAGGAGACATTGCTGGAACTGGCAGCAGAGAAGGTAATAAGATAGAGCCATTCATCCAACCGTCCATCCAGAGCCACAAGGAAATCACATCAACTGGTTTTCATCCCAGTACAGTCCAGATAATTACCAGTTGATTATCCATCTACAGAGAAGAGAGTCCTTTATAGATCACATGACCACCTCCAAGAGGATGGATGAGGACCGGAGTCAAATAAGTGAGCAAATATTGAACCTCACCCTGGAGATCATCTACCTGCTCTTGGGCGAGGTGAGGAGGATTCTGGGGGGTCATGTGACACTTATCTCTATTCGTAAAACATGGACCTGACCGGAGAGGTGAGGAGGATTCTGGGACTATTTGCAGTGCTAATTAATGACATTTAATTTTAGGGTTATGAAATAGTGAGGAAAGCACACGGTGAGCAATTGCTACTCAGCAGCAGTCCCCGTGTATCTCCTCTTCCTTCATCCCTGACACCTGAGAGCAATAATAAGCAGAAGATCCTAGAAGTCACCCAGAAGATGATTGATCTGCTGACAGGAGAGGTGAGCGGTGCCGGGAATTCTGGGACATGATCCAGGAACAGACAAGGGATGTGTCTGGATGGTGACTGTATCATTGTGTGTGTCAGGTTCCTATAAGGTGTCAGGATGTCTCTGTCTATTTCTCCATGGAGGAGTGGGAGTATCTAGAAGGACACCGGGATCTCTACAAGGACGTCGTGATGGAGAATGAGCCGCCCCTCACATCACCGGGTAAGAGGAGAGAGCAGTACGGAGGGTCCACCTAGATCCCCCATCATCTGATACACACATAGAAACAATGTATTCAGTCAGTGTGTGTGTTTCCTACAGATGGATCCAGTAAGAGGAACCCACCAGAGAGATGTCCCCGTCCTCTGTATTCCCGGGATTCCACACAGGAAGATCTCACCGTCCCTCACCATGATCAGGTAGGAGGAACTCAAGAGTGACTGTAGACTGTATGAGTTTATACTCTTCTATGTAATCCCATCCTGGTGGCACTTCAAGGATGTTATTTTCTGTCATTCTGTTGGTTCAGCATGAAGAACAGATGTATATGAAAGTTGAGGTGAAAGTGGAAGAGGAGGAGACCTACGTGATGAGATATCAGCAGGCCATGGAGGAGGAGGGGATGATGGTGAAAATCAAGCAGGAGGAATCTTTTCTAGAAATCAGCAGAGGTGAGTAATGAACACAACAGATTATATTCCATTATATAGATTGATGACGGAGGATGTGTAGATGATCTCTACAAGGAAGCCAGTGGCGTAACAATCACCATAGCGACCTAGGCAGCCGCTATGGTGCCCGGGGCACAGGGGGGCCCGGCCAGGACATCCCCCTGATGCTGTGTGGGCCGTCTGGGTTGCTATGGCATCTCAGGCTGCTGGCTGTCACTGGCGGGTGTGCGGAGGAACGTGTCACTGTTAGATCACCGACAACCTGTCAGAGATCTGTGCAGCGGCGCGTTCCTCATCACAGCCGCTGCTGAGTCAGTGACAGCCAGCAGCTGCCGAGGACGCTGGGCCCGGCAGAAGGCAGGGTCCGGCAACGGACGAGGAGGCGGGGTCAGGTGACAGAGGAGGCAGGGCCCGCCGACGACCGAGGCGGATCGGGGCTGACAGGTAAGAGGGTTGCAGGGTCACTCTCAGGTGGGCTCTGCAAGGCGTGTAACTAGAAATCACAGGGCCCCGTACAAAATTTTGCTACGGGGCCCTGTGATTTCTAGTTTGGGTTTGGTGTATTGTAGAATGTGTTTCTCATGTCATTTTGCTTTCTATCAGACGGCCGCCATGTCCGGAATACCTCGGAGGGAGATCTTCACTCTGAAGGGAATCACATACGTCCAATGATACACCACAGAACATATTGTCTGGAGACATCATTGGATCCCTCTAATCCTGAGGAATCTTCTGACCAATCACATCACATGACTTCAGATATCCATCTCGGTTTCCACAGTGAAGATCCGTCTACAGATCCAACTATCCCCGAGGAATCTTCTCTCAGCCATGAAGGAGATCACACAGGAGAGAGGTCATTGTGTTGTTCGGGGTGCAGGGAATACTTTAGGATGAAATCTGAACTTCTTCTACATCTCAAAACCCACAACCATGTGACCTGTTCATGTCCAGAGTGCGGGAAATTTTTCACTGAGGAAAGCGAGCTTCTTAAATACCATGACAGTCACAATGGTGAGAATTCTTATTCCTGTTCAGAGTGCGGGAAACACTTCAGTACAAAAGCATACCTTGTTTTACACCAAAGAATTCACACAGGTGAGCGTCCTTATTTATGCCCAGAGTGCGGGAAAAGTTATTTTGACAAAAGAAACCTTCTTAAACACCAGCAAATTCACACAGGTGAGCGATCATTTTCATGTCCAGAGTGTGGGAAAGGTTTTTCTGATAAAAGAACCCTCCTTTTGCACCATAGACTTCACACGGGTGAGCGGCCTTTTTCATGTTCAGAGTGTGACAAACGTTATGCTGACCATGCAAGTCTTCATAGACACCAGAAAATCCACACGAGTAACCGTCCATATTCATGTTTAGAGTGCAGAAAAAGGTTCTCTGATAAAGGACAGTTTCTTACGCACCAACAAACCCACACAGTTAAGCGTCCTCATTCATGTTCAGAGTGCGGGAAAGGCTTCCTTCGGAAAGCAGGACTTATTGCACACCAGAGAAGTCACACAGGTGAGCGTCCTTATCCATGTTTGGTGTGCGGGAAATGTTTCATTACAAAAGGACATCTAAATAAACATCGGAGAACCCACACACCGGCTGATCCATGTGTTTTTGCCTTTTCTCAAATTTCCACCAATCACCCAGAGGAAAGGGAGATCAGAGACGGAGAATAGAGGCTTTCCCTCACCGACGAGCAGTTTCCTTAAGGCTGTTTGGTCCTGATCCCTTAACCCTTTGGTCTTTTTATTCTATGCTACTGTATGTTACGTCCACGATCTTGGGACATTAGAGTGTTACCAATACCAGTTCCATATATATCACTACAGAAGCTTTTGCCTTTGTGTAATAAATCAGAACTTCTTGCCACTCCCCCTTGGCGGCTGTGTGTGTTATACTCCAATATTGCACTTATTTCACAATTTAGACACACTGACTGGGAGCGGGTATCTGTACCGGCACCTAAAGGTTTCCCCATGACAACAACAAGGTGTCCTTTCCATCCTACATGATTAGAGAGACATAGGTTTCATGAAGCGTCCAAGAGGGGAAGGAACTTGATGTCCCATAGATCACTGCAGAAAAGAAGATTGGGTAATGGTCCCACCAAAGCTTCAGCGCCATGGATGTTCAGTGGTGGCGGTCTAAGACCCCCCTGAGATGAAAGGTGAACGCCAGATGGCAATTATTGTCACGGATCAGGGCTCACGGGTATGAACTGGAGTCAGGTCTGTGGACCCTTTCTACTACACTGGCAGGGACACTTAGAGAAAAGGGTCCAAGCAGTGTAGGCCAACCACTCCCAGAGGTGGAGTACAAGTAGGGGAACTGATGGAGGTGGTGGAAGACAATAGGCTGGTAGGTCAAGGTACAGGGCCGGGTGCTGCAAGCTAGGTAGGTGGCATGGGGTCTCCAGGATGTGGAATCTAAGGGCCAGCCGGTGTTCACCAGAGCTCCTGATGGTGGAGATGGGCTTGGCTGCGTGCTGATCCCAGGTCACAATCCCTAGGTCCACCCGACTCACCTAACAGCCAATAATGGTCAACAAGGCCGGAGTTCAGGACAGGTTGCAGACACCAAAACAAAGGTCAGGGACAGACAGAGGACCGGGACTTCCAAGGACAATCTGAAGAGTGGGATTTCAGGAAATAGCCAAAGGATAGGGACAGACAGAAGACCGGGATCACCAGGGACCAGTCAGAGTTCAGGGCAGACTGGGGACAAGGATCTCCAAGGACCAGGATGGCCAGGGACAAGTCAAAGTTCAGGGTAGACTGAGGACAAGGATCACCAGGGACCAGTCAGAGTTCAGGGCAGACTGAGGACAAGGATCTCCAAGGACAAGGATGACCAGGGACAAGTCAAAGTTCAGGGCAGACTGGGGACAAGGATGACCAGGGACAAGTCAAAGTTCAGGGCAGACTGGGGACAAGGATCTCCAGGGACAAGGCAAAGTTCAGGGCAGACTGGGGACAAGGATCTCCAGGGCAAGGCAAAGTTCAGGGCAGACTGGGGACAAGGATCTCCAGGGCAAGGCAAAGTTCAGGGCAGACTGGGGACAAGGATCACCAGGGACAAGGCAAATGTAGATATACCGAAAAACCTCAAGGCATTCAGGTTGATCCACAAACGGGGGGCTCGGCCACTAGCTTAGGAAAGCGTTGCTCGTGCCGCGTGCTGTTCGCTGACCTGGATTTAAATAGAGACAGGAAGAGGGAGAATCCACAGGATTGGCCACAAGCGGACTGCACTGATTGGTCGAGAAGCTGCATAAGAAACACCAGGAGAGGTCAACCGACGCCTAAAGCTTGCAGACAGGTGCAAGAGCGAGTCAGTGTTCAGAGCACATGCCTGGAGGACTACAAGCACCAGCACAGCCCCGCATGCCTGCAGAACCAGGGGTAAGGGGTCTGTATATAGTTGTAGAACTACAAGTGACAGCTCAGCTGCAAGTCTGCAGCTGAACTGTGACCATTAAAGAAAAAAAAATTATAATAAATACAAAAATAAATCAGTTCCAAGCATTGTTAGAGAAGGATTACACACACGACGTCGTGCCCAGATCCACCTGGAGCTTCCATGAGACTTTGAGCCCACAAGGCCAACTCACCCGGAAGAAAGGGAGAAGATCAGAGACGGCGAATGAAGGAACGAGAGGGACATGAGATGGAAGGAAAGGAGAGGGAAGGTCAGAGGAAACTAGTGAGGGAATGCCCACAGGGCGGGAAAGCAAGACAACCACGAAACCTAGGCTGCCAACACTCTTACTATGGATACTTAATGAAATGGTCAGAACTTGTGAAGTGGTCCAGATACTCCACGTAGAAGTGTATGGTTCCAATCTGTAGATGGGCCATCAGTTGTTCCATATGCTGCAGCTGATTGAGTTCAACGGTCACTTCCTTGACAGAGTCAACTTAGAGTCTCTCGGAATCACCACTCTAGCTAGAAAACCATGTAGGAGACCTTTCTTGGCCACCGAGAGAAGAGGACAAAATCCGACTTTGGTTGGAATTTAAAGCCTCATGACCAGTGACCAGAAAGCCGATTTCAGAAGACATGTCCACCAGATGTGTAGCCTAGTCCCCCATTCTGTGCCACAACCCCAACAGAGATCCGAAGTCCATGGAGATATTTTCTTGGAAGGTAGTAGGACACTTGTACCCTCTTGTGAGAATGTTTTCCTTTTTCTCCTGAGACACTCGGCAATGTTTAGTTTGCAAAGTTAAATATTTTTCACAGTCATCGGGGGTGAAGCATCGTTGTAGATCCTTTTCCCAAGCTAGGAGATAATAGGGAGTGGCAGAGTCCTCTTGGTCCATGTGTAAAGAATACGGCTGGGAGGCGACATGCGATGGGGCTCGAGATTGCAGACGAAAGTTCTCAAAAGCAGCAGGATCTCTAAAGACTGGGCCCTGTGTGGCAAGGTGGTCATCCAAATCCCTCAACTGGAATTATTGTAGCCATAGGCTTGGGTAAGGGGACAAGTCTTAGGACAGAGATGATCTAGGCACCCCTCTCAAATCGCGTTCGAATTCACCCCTCTCCCGTCCAGCAGAAAAAAAGAAGGGATCAGAGTCCTAGGACCAATATAGGAGAAGATGCAGGATTTCCTAAGCAGCGAAACCCACAGCGGTAGGGAGGATGAGGGGGGATGGTCACGAAGGAGCAGCCAGTGTAGGGCGAAAAGTGGGATAGGTGATTTGGAGTCCACCAACCACCCCATAACTTATCCAGTCAGAAAGGCGGGTCAACAATGATGCCTCATGATAAAGCTCTAGACAGGGCCGGCCTTAGGCCTTTAGGCGCCCTGTGCGAGAAAGCTTTACAGCGCCCCTCAGTGACCACACCCCTCAGTGGCCACACCCTTTAGTGGTCACACCCCCAGTAACCACACCCATTTATTACCCATATTTTTGATAAAATATAAAAAGCGGGGTCACGTCGGGTAAATAGACACCAAACATGTCATGCTTTAAAATTGCGCGCACCCGCGAAATCGCAAAAAATTACCATGCCCAAAATTGACCATAGGTGACGCTTTTAAAGCTTTTACCCCTCATCAGTTTAGTGTTATCAGTGATTGATAGCCCTAGAACTATTGCTCTCATTCCGACGTTCGCGGCGATATGTAACATGTGCGGCGTAATGGGCGAAATCGTCGTTTTCACACGTATGCGCACCTGACGCATGTTTGCATGCGTGTATGTATGGGGGGGACTTTTAAAAAAAAATGTTATTCTTTTGGCGCCCTGTGCGGCCGCACTGCTCGCACACCCCTAAGGCCGGCCCTGGCTCTAGATGGGGAGACCAAGCCCTCCAGATGGTTTCCAATGAACCAATATATTGTGTTGGAAGCAGGATTAGGACCATAGAAAACGGATTTCAATTTACCAAAAAAACAATTCAGGAATAGTAATGTTAGTGTGGAAAATATATAAACAAATGTGGCAAAAGATCCATTTTGGTCACACATATCTTCTGGTGGACCATTCCTTCAATGTGTCCTGCAACAGAGGTGCACGGTTTAGACCATGGAGTTTAGAGAGGCCCCTGGAAAGGTGAATACCGAGGTATATAATTAAGCTGGTGGCCCATTGAAAGGGGAAAAGACGTCAAAGAGTTGTTCTGAGGACGGGAGGGTGAAATTTCACGAGACGGATTTATGAGTTTGTACCTTAAAGTTACTGAATCCACCAAAGATCTGGAATTTCTGCAGTGTGGATGGGAAGGCTAGCCTAGGGTTAGACACATATAGCAACATATCATCCAGGCAAAGGTCAACTTTGTGGTGGCGCTCATGTACGAGTATACCTTGCATAGGGGGATTTGTATGGATAGCCTTCACTAGATGTTCCAAAGCCATAACGTAGAGAAGTGGAGACGGGCATTCTTGGCGCATCCCATTGAGAATGGCCACTGAGTCTAGGAGGTTGCCATTGACGTGGAAGCAAGCCGAGGGTCTGTCATACAGTGCCATCATTTTTCCCAACAGTGGAGGAGGGGTGCCAATCTGGTGAAGGGTAGCAGACAGGAAAGTCCAATCCAACCAAATGTCTTCTCGGCATCTACTGGCAGAAGGCCTTATGGATGGTTGTGTTTAATGGTATATTCCATAGAGGAAAGGGTAAGCACTGTATTATCCCGAGATGTCCAGATTAGGACGATATCAACCCGTACTGGTGTTGAAGTCTTTGAGAAATAAGCTTGCCGAAACTTTTAAGGTCCCTGCTTACACAGGGCTTGGGGAACAAATTGCCTGGGAGCTAAGTGGCATAAAAAATTTGGATTTGAACTGTTTGGGATATATTGAGTGCTTGATTTTTTGAATACTTGTTGTCTCCCTTCCTTTTAGACCCGTTTTTAGTTGGACTTGATGGACTAATGTCTTTATTCAACCTCAAATACTATGTAACTATGTAACATATGGATCAGAGATATTAGCCGATAATTGGGACCACGAAGAGAAGTCTTTGCCATCCTTCGAATTAGACACACATTAGATCCTCCGGTCCTCTTCCTTAGAAGATAACCTTGTGGCATCATCTCGCTTCATCTCCAGATTGTGAGAAGGAAAATGAGGACATCACATGGGACCACGAAGAGAAGTCTTTGCCATCCTTCGGGATTAGACTAGGGTTGCCACCTGTCCAGGATTCATCCGGACTGTTCGGGTTTTGAATGCTGTGTTCGGGTTTCATGGCAGCAGAGACCCGGACACAAGATGTCAGGCAGACAGGGGCAACCAAAAATAAGATAGGGACTACTGCCCTCCCACTTGAAATAGTCTCAACTGTGATATTTGCATATGAATGGGCGGCAATATTTACATATGAATAAGCCGCAACTCATTCTCCCCCAAAAATGTCTGTGCATCACTTGAGTGTTCCGGTTTCGCTTGAAGAAAAGGTGGCAACCCTAGATTAGACACACATTAGATCCTCCGGTCCTCTTCCTCAGAAGATAACCTGGTGCCTTCATCTCCAGATTGTGAGGAGGAAAATGAGGAGAATCTCCCAAAATGTGGATCCAGAACTTTACAGAGAGATTTTTGGATCCCTCCAATCCCGAGGATTATTACTCACGTGGTTTGATAGAAGGGAAGATGATGAGCTTACTGGGAAACTTTTAGAAATTGTAATTCCTGAGACAGCGGGTGGGAATATGGTGGGTGTGGCCAAATGATGCTTTTATAAAGCGGGAGGGGCTAAGATTATAGGTTTGATGTCTACAAGGTGGCAGATACGTGGGAGACAGATGCATACACCTACATACATACAAACCCGTACCTCTCACAGCTGTGCCGGCACAGTCTGTGTTTTTTTCCTTGTACTGCCACCAATGCAAGGGAGTGGAGGGGACTGGAGATAGATTAAACAATGATACTGAGCAAACACTAGGGTAAGGGGTTAATTAGCCCTTTCCCCCTTGCATTGGTGGGTGGTCAGTGGAAATTTAAAGAAGTGGCTTTAGGTAGACAGGAAGTTATGTCAGACAGGAAGTGATATCAGTTACAAACAGGAAGTGATATTCCCAGACAGGATGTTACAGGTGAGAGGTAAATTGGAAGGAAGCAAAGAGGAGTCAATGTTGGGACTGGGAGCAGAGGAGGTAAATCCCCCCCGCCCCATCCCATCATGTCCATCCTTTTCCTACATATTCACTCTGATATCTTTTATGGTTTACAGTCCAGTACAGTCCAGATAATTACCAGTTGATTATCCATCTACAGAGAAGAGAGTCCTTTATAGATCACATGACCACCTCCAAGAGGATGGATGAGGACCGGAGTCAAATAAGTGAGCGAATATTGAACCTCACCCTGGAGATCATCTACCTGCTCTTGGGCGAGGTGAGGAGGATTCTGGGGGGTCATGTGACACTTATCTCTATTCGTAAAACATGGACCTGACCGGAGAGGTGAGGAGGATTCTGGGACTATTTGCAGTGCTAATTAATGACATTTAATTTTAGGGTTATGAAATAGTGAGGAAAGCACACGGTGAGCAATTGCTACTCAGCAGCAGTCCCCGTGTATCTCCTCTTCCTTCATCCCTGACACCTGAGAGCAATAATAAGCAGAAGATCCTAGAAGTCACCCAGAAGATGATTGATCTGCTGACAGGAGAGGTGAGCGGTGCCGGGAATTCTGGGACATGATCCAGGAACAGACAAGGGATGTGTCTGGGTGGTGACTGTATCATTGTGTGTCAGGTTCCTATAAGGTGTCAGGATGTCTCTGTCTATTTCTCCATGGAGGAGTGGGAGTATCTAGAAGGACACCGGGATCTCTACAAGGACGTGGTGATGGAGAATGAGCCGCCCCTCACATCACCGGGTAAGAGGAGAGAGCAGTACGGAGGGTCCACCTAGATCCCCCATCATCTGATACACACATAGAAACAATGTATTCAGTCAGTGTGTGTGTTTCCTACAGATGGATCCAGTAAGAGGAACCCACCAGAGAGATGTCCCCGTCCTCTGTATTCCCGGGATTCCATGCAGGAAGATCTCACCATCCCCCACCACGATCAGGTAGGTGACAAGAACTCAAGAGTGACTGTAGACTGTATGAGTTTATACTCTTCTATGTAATCCCATCCTGGTGGCACTTCAAGGATGTTATTTTCTCTCATTCTGTTGGTTCAGCATGAAGAACAGATGTATATGAAAGTTGAGGTGAAAGTGGAAGAGGAGGAGACCTACGTGATGAGATATCAGCAGGCCATGGAGGAGGAGGGGATGATGGTGAAAATCAAGCAGGAGGAATCTTTTCTAGAAATCAGCAGAGGTGAGTAATGAACACAACAGATTATATTCCATTATATAGATTGATGACGGAGGATGTGTAGATGATCTCTACAAGGAAGCCATGATGGAGAATGAGCCGCCCCTCACATCACCGGGTAAGAGGAGGCACAGCTGAGAGAGCAGTATGGAGGGTCCACTTCAGACTTTACATGTAGAAACTATTAACCTATTTATATTGTTTCTGTGTATATGTGGTACGTTGCTTGACTAAAAGTTTTCAAGGACTAGCTGTGCTTCAACATCATCAGCTTCGATTGTAGTCAGAGAAGGCTTAGAAGGAAATCTCCATTCCTCAATATAACGTCATGTCCCCAACAAATGAGGAGGAGATACTGTACACCATATGAAGGTCCATCTCCATTCCTCAATATAATGTCATGTGACCAACAAATGAGGAGCAGATACTGTACACCATATGAAGGTCCATCTCCATTCCTCAATATAACATCATGTGACCAACAAATGAGGAGGAGATACTGTACACCATATGAAGGTCCATCTCCATTGCTCAATATAACGTCATGTGACCAACAAATGAGGAGGAGATACTGTACACCATATGAAGGTCCATCTCCATTCCTCAATATAACGTCATGTGACCAACAAATGAGGAGGAGACACTGTACACCATATGAAGGTCCATCTCCATTCCCCAATATAACATCATGTGACCAACAAATGAGGAGGAGATACTGTACACCATATGAAGGTCCATCTCCATTCCTCCAGTGAAGTCCATCTATTGTACCCGCCATTCTATAGTTGGTTTGGATGTTTTGGATACTTAATCTGACTTAGTTATAACTTCTTACGTGACGGGTGACGGGTGGAAAATACTTTTTGTTTTCATTGTATTATTGGTTTCCAACAGAACAAGGTGTCAGGAGAACCTCAGAAGAACATCACGGCAGAAGAACCTCGGCGGAAGACCTTTTTCTTTTTCCAGATTGTGATGCAGCAAATAATGACCTCGTCCAATATTCTCCGGGAGTGAGTCAGATCTCTCATGATATAGGTGACAGAACATATTGTCTGGCGACATCAATGGCTCCCTCTAAACCTGAGGAATCTTCTGACCAATCACATCACATGACTTCAGATGTCATTACAAGATCTCTCAGTGCAGAGCCAAAGGAAATTTCTCTAAGCCTTGAAGCAGTACACACAGCGGAGAGTTCATTGTCATGTTTGGTGTGCGGAGAAACTTTTGAGACGAATTCTGAACTTTATATACATCTCAGGTCTCACGCCAGTGTGACCTTTCCATGTTCAGAGTGCGGGAAGTCTTTCACGGAGGAAAGCAAGCTTCTTATACATCAGGAAAGTCACAAGGACGAAGGTCCTTTCTCATGTGCAAAGTGTGCAAAACGTTTTTTGAAGAAAGGGGAACTTTTTAGACACCAGAGAATTCACACAGCTGAGCGTCCTTATCAATGTTTAGAGTGTGGGAAACGTTTCACTTTGAAACAAAAACTTGTTACACATCAGAGAATTCACACAGGTGAGCGCCTTTTTTCATGTTCAGAGTGCGGTAAATCTTTCACTCAGAAAGGAGAGCTCTGTAGACACGAGAGAATTCACACAGGTGAGCGTCCCTATTCATGTTCAGAGTGTGGGAAAAGTTTCACTCAGAAAGGAGAGCTTTTTAGGCACCAGAGAATTCACACGGGTGAGCGTCCCTATTCATGTTCAGAGTGTGGGAAATGTTTCACACAGAAAGGACACCTTCTTTCACACCAAATAATTCACACTGGTGAGCGTCCATATTCATGTTCCGATTGTGGGAAATGTTTCACCGTGAAAGGAAGCCTACTTAGACACCAGAGAGCTCACACAGGAAAGCATTCTTGTTCAAGTTCAGAAATGGGTGTATGTTTTAATGCAACATTTCTTAGACACCAGGGAAATCCCACAGGCAAGCATCCTTATTCATGTTTAGAGTGCGGAAAATGTTTTACTAAAAAAGGAAACCTTCTTAGGCACCAGAGAACTCACACTGGCGAGCGGCCTTATTCATGTTTAGAGTGTGGGAAAGGTTTCATTCAAAAAGAAAAACTTAGCATACACCAGAGAGCTCACACTGGTGAGCGTCCTTACTCGTGTTCAGAGTGTGGGAAAAGTTTCATTCAGAAAGGAGATGTTCTTAGACACCAGAGAACTCACACTGGTGAATGTCCTTATTTATGTTCAGAATGCGGACAGTGTTTCGCCCAAAAAGGAAAACTTCTCATACATCAGATAATTCACACAGGTGAGCGCCCTTTGTCATGTTCCGAGTGCGGGAAAAGTTTTATTCAGAAAGCAGATCTTCTTAAACACCAGTTAACTCACACAGGCACAGATTCTTTTGATGCTCAGAGTGCAGGAAATGTTTTATACATCAAGGAAATCTAATTAGACATCTCAACCACCTGCTGATGCTCTTGACAATTGTATGGTGGACTTTATCTGGTTGAATTGTGGAGTCTATAGAACGACTCTATGAAAAATACATTTTAAAGTGGAGCATCCATGCAAATTGACAATCCAGTTTTATGGAGAACCTGGACGGGCTGGCTTCTTTCTTCCTCGGAGACTGCAGTTCCAAGATCTGCCTGCTGTATTTCCTGGCTCTCTTCCTACCCCATTGAGTCATTGCCACCTCCTATGTAGCATTTCCTGCAATATAAAATATCCTGAAAACCCACCATGAAAAGTGGAAGCCCCTTTTGATGGCCACGTCAGGAATGAAGAACCAGGAACTCAATAGAAGACATCACACCACCTTCTAGATATAAAACATTGAAAACCCGAAAGGGAAAATGGAAGTCCCTCTTAATGGCTATAGCAAGAATGAGTGAAGAACCAGGAATTCAACAGAAGACATCTCATCCAGATATAAAACATTGAAAACCCAAAAGGGAAAATGGAAGTCCCTCTTAATGGCTATAGCAAGAATGAGTGAAGAACCAGGAACTCAACAGAAGACATCTCATCACCATCCAGATATAAAATATATTGAAAAGCCAATAGGGAAAATGGAAGCACCTTTGAAGGTCCATGGCTGGAATGAAGAACCAGGAACTCAACAGAAGACATCTCACCACCTTCTAGAGATAAAACATTGAAAACCTGAAAGGGAAAATGGAAGTCCCTCTTAATGACTATGGCAAGGATGAATGAAGAACCAGGAACTCAACAGAAGACATCTCATCACCATCCAGATATAAAACATATTGGAAAGCCAACGGGGAAAATGGAAGCCCCTTTTAATGGCAACGTCAGGAATGAAGAACCAGGAACTCAACAGAAGACATCTCCCCACCTTCTAGATATAAAACATATTAAAAACCCAACAGGGAAAATGGAAGTTCCTCTTAATAGCTACGGCAAGAATGAAGAACCAGGAACTCAACTGAAGACATCTCATCACCTTCTAGATTTAAAACATATTGAAAAGCCAACAGGGAAAATGGAAGTCCCTTTGAAGGTCCATGGCTGGAATAAAGAACATGGAATTCAACAGAAGACATCTCACTACGTTCTAGAGATAAAACATTGAAAACCCGAAAGGGAAAATGGAAGTCCTTCTTAATGGCTATGGCAAGAATGAATGAAGAACCTTGAACTCAACAGAAGACATCTCATCACCATCCAGATATAAAATATATTGAAAAGCCAATAGGGAAAATGGAAGCACCTTTGAAGGTCCATGGCTGGAATGAAGAACGTGGAATTCAACAGAAGACATCTCACCACCTTCCAGATACAGTATACAATATATTGACAACCCAACAGGGAAAAGTGGATTCCCCTTGTAATGGCCACTGCAGGAATGAAGAGCATGTCATCACCTTCAGCGTAGAACAATAATCATCAAGTTGTTTAACGCTCTAACGTCTATCAAACACTCTGAGATCTAACCATCGGATGGACCTACTATCTGTGTGTGATCTTAGGAAAAGTGTTTGTTCTATCTTCATTTGTGGAGACTCCGGCACCCAAATATTGAGCAGTAACACCCGGAGCTTTTCAGTGCTTGGATCCTTCATCGAGTCGGTAGTCTGTTCATTGTGTTTTGGTTAAAGCTCAAGCTGGACCATTGTACATCTGCAGGAACCCAAAGCGCCCGACCAGAACCTATCTTTCCCGAAATACCCTCATAACTGGTTGTTGGGTCATCATTCTGTTTGTTCTGTTCTGCTTTACCCACAGCTCTTCAATGATTGGGGCCTTCCTCTAGTGATGTAGTTGGTCATCTGCAGACAGTGTTTTGAATAAAGCTGAAGATGGACCATTGTACTGTACATCTGCAGGAACTCAAGCACCCAACCAGAACCTTTCCCATAAAACCCACTTGATTGTCTTCTCTTGGTTTGTCATTCCATTAGCTCTGCTCTGCTTTACCCAGGGCTCTTCAATGATTGAGTCCTTGCTATAGTGATGTAGTGGGTTATCTGTCCATTGTGGTTTGAATAAAGCTTAAGCTGGACCATTGTAAATCTGCCGGAACCCAAAAGCACCCAACCAGCACCTGTCTTTCCTAGAAGACCCTTTTGGTTGGTTGCTCTTGGTTCATCATTCTCTTTGTCCTGCTCTGCTTTACCTACAGCTCTTCAATGATTGGGTCCTTCCTTACTGATGTGGTGGGTCATCTGTCCATTGTGTTATGAATAGAACTGAAGCCGTACATCTGCAGGAACCCAAAGCACCCAACCAGAACCTATCTTTCCCAGATGACCCTTTTGGTTGGTTGCTTTTGGCTCATCATTCTGTTAGCTCTGCTCTGCTTTACCTACAGCTCCTTAACGATTGTGTCCTTCCTGTAGTGATGTGCCGGTCAACTGTCCATTGTTTTTTCAATAAGCTGGACCAATCTGCAGGAACCCAAGTGCCCAACCAGAACCTTTCCCAGAAAACCCTTTTGGTTGCTTGCTCTTGGTTCGTCATTCTCTTTGTTCAGCTCTGTCTGTCCATTGTGTTTTGTTTAAAGCTGTTTTGGCGGAAGTCACCTAACTCATGGGGAACAAGACGATGTTCCATCTGGTATTCCTCATATAAATGTAGAAGTCAGATGTAAATCGATGACCTGCTGATGTTATTTCTGCATTTCAGCTTCAAATCTGTATATGCGTCTATCCTACGGAATGCACAAACCATTGTAATGCTATAGGAATCCATAACGCCCAATCAGAACCTATCTTCCCCAGAAGACCCTTTGGGTTGGTTGCTCTTGGTTCGTCATTCTCTTTGTCCTGCTCTGCTTTACCTACAGCTTTTCAATGATTGGGTCCTTCCTTACTGATGTGGTGGGTCATCTGTCCATTGTATTATAAATAAAACTGAAGCCGTACATCTGCAGGAACCCAACGCACCCAACAAGAACCTATCTTTCCAAGAAGACCCTTTGAGTTGGTTGCTCTTGGTTCATCATTCTCTGTCCTGCTCTGCTTTACCTACAGCTCCTTAACGATTGGGTCCTTCCTGTAGTGATGTGCCGGTCAACTGTCCATTGTTTTTTCAATAAGCTGGACCAATCTGCAGGAACCCAAGTGCCCAACCAGAACCTTTCCCAGAAGACCCTTTTGGTTGGTTGCTCTTGGTTTGTCATTCTCTTTGTCCTGCTCTGCTTTACCTACAGCTCTTCAATGATTGGGTCCTTCCTTACTGATGTGGTGGGTCATCTGTCCATTGTGTTATGAATAGAACTGAAGCCGTACATCTGCAGGAACCCAAAGCACCCAACCAGAACCTATCTTTCCCAGATGACCCTTTGGGTTGGTTGCTTTTGGCTCATCATTCTGTTAGCTCTGCTCTGCTTTACCTACAGCTCCTTAACGATTGTGTCCTTCCTGTAGTGATGTGCCGGTCAACTGTCCATTGTTTTTTCAATAAGCTGGACCAATCTGCAGGAACCCAAGTGCCCAACCAGAACCTTTCCCAGAAGACCCTTTTGGTTGGTTGCTCTTGGTTCGTCATTCTCTTTGTCCTGCACTGCTTTACCTACAGCTCTTCAATCATTGGGTCCTTCCTTACTGATGTGGTGGGTCATCTGTCCATTGTGTTATGAATAGAACTGAAGCCGTACATCTGCAGGAACCCAAAGCACGCAACCAGAACCTAGCTTTCCCAGAAGACCCGTTTGGTTGGTTGCTCTTGGTTCGTCATTTTCTTCTCTCTGCTTTACTGATGCAGCCGGCATGTCATTGGTCCACTCGGTGGATAATCGCTAATGGATTTGATTTTAGGAGACTTGATTTAAAGTGCAGTTCAACTTTTCCGGGGAAACTCCTCTATGTGGGTTCCCAACCACACAGCAAACCTAAAAATATATATATTTTTAACAAATATACTATAAGATGTTTCTTGGGTGAAGGACTTTGTGCAGATTGCAGGCTACCCTGAGCAGTTGGAAAGTGAAAGTAAAAGGGCAAACTGAGGGCAGACTGAGCTTCCTCCTCATGCTTCTAAGTCTTTAACCCTTTGTTAGGACTGACATTGTTCAAGCCTAGTTTACAACTGACAATGAAGAGCTGCCAGCACAGACGGGGTTAATTAGGGTAAACATAACTTCCCCCAGCCCCCTTCCTTAACACTACGTTTGCTATAGGAATCCATAACGCCCAATCAGAACCTATCTTCCCCAGAAGACCCTTTGGGTTGGTTGCTCTTGGTTCGTCATTCTCTTTGTCCTGCTCTGCTTTACCTACAGCTTTTCAATGATTGGGTCCTTCCTTACTGATGTGGTGGGTCATCTGTCCATTGTATTATAAATAAAACTGAAGCCGTACATCTGCAGGAACCCAACGCACCCAACAAGAACCTATCTTTCCAAGAAGACCCTTTGAGTTGGTTGCTCTTGGTTCATCATTCTCTGTCCTGCTCTGCTTTACCTACAGCTCCTTAACGATTGGGTCCTTCCTGTAGTGATGTGCCGGTCAACTGTCCATTGTTTTTTCAATAAGCTGGACCAATCTGCAGGAACCCAAGTGCCCAACCAGAACCTTTCCCAGAAGACCCTTTTGGTTGGTTGCTCTTGGTTTGTCATTCTCTTTGTCCTGCTCTGCTTTACCTACAGCTCTTCAATGATTGGGTCCTTCCTTACTGATGTGGTGGGTCATCTGTCTATTGTGTTATGAATAGAACTGAAGCCATACATCTTCAGGAACCCAAAGCACCCAACCAGAACCTATCTTTCCCAGATGACCCTTTGGGTTGGTTGCTTTTGGCTCATCATTCTGTTAGCTCTGCTCTGCTTTACCT